CTCCAAAAGTTTTTAAAAATTTCATTACATGCACACAAGCATCTCTAGTTTGGCCATTGAATTGTTTAAATTTAAGATTAGTATAATCCTTAGGATATGGCTTAGTAGCCACTCTAACAGAATAAGTTAGCTTAAAATCAAATTAAAAAAGTTTAAACTTTGTTATTTCTCTTAAACAACTTTTGAAGTTCTTTTTTCATGACGAAGCCCTGAGTTGTGGTTGGAGGAAAAGTCATAGTAAAAGTATCAACAGCTGAGGTGTTGTTCACACTAAGATTTTCATTAACACCAGGATTTGGCACATTTGCAATGTTTTCTCCATTGCCATTCGGGATAGCTCCATTAGAAATGTTCCATTCCCATCAGTAGCAGTTTGGGTTTGAAAGGTTATGGCATTAGAATATGTGAGTTAGGAGTTAGTCTTTTCTAACTTTTGCATCCTCTCTTGGGAATTTTAAATCATCGTCATCAGTTTTTAGATGTAGGCAGGGGTTTTAGCATTTTGGTTTGCAGTAGAATTTTTTATTTTTTCTAACAAAGCAAGATTAGAAATTGTTTTGCATAATGCAATCTCTCCTCTCCAGTGGAGTCGTCAAAATATAAACGAGTTCTTTGTTGAAGTGAGGAAGCATTGCAAACAAGTAAAATGAGATATGCCGAAGGCGACGGAGAGAAAGATTGGAACAGACCCTGAAGTATTGAATATAGTGACAGATGGTGATAGATTGTGAAATAAAGCTGAGTCGATAAGAGAATAAGACTAAGAAAAAGATTTAGGAAGAGAGGATTGCAAAGAGAGTTTGAGAGAAAGTTCAAAAAGAGTTTGAGAGATCTGTCAAAGTCCAAAAAGTACCACATGAATTATGAAAACTCTTATTTATAGGTTTTAAGAATAGGAGTTACATATTTTAAATATTGAATAGAAATAATGATAAATAATGTGAGAACTGATTATTACAAAATATATTGTATTGTTTAATGATAGTTTAATTAGTTTTTAATGATAGGTATAGTAAACATAGAGTTCACTATCTGTTCTGAAAGAAAAAGAGAAGCACTCATATTTCGAGGAAAGGTTAAAAGGAAACCTCTTAACTATTTTCATATTTGATCCACCAAATCAAACTTTTTAAAACATCCCAATAACGAAATTAACCCAAGAACCCTATTATATTCTTGGGTTATTTTCACTTTAGTTAAATAACATTTGATGAAGCATATTTTATGGAATAACTTTTAGTAAAGCAACTTGTATTTTTCGAGTTTTCGATAAAGATGTTACTTTTTTTTCCTTGAGAAAGTTATTTCAAAAATAGCTGTTTCATGAAAGAATAGTTTCTTGAATAGTTATTTTGTAAACAGCTATTTTATAAAAGGGTTCTATAAATAATTGTTTCATAAAATAACTTTAACTGAAACAGTTTTATCACATGTTTCATAAAATAACTTTCACTGAAGCAGTCTTAACACCAGTTCTAACTTATTTTTAATTTTAACAATTTTAAAAAATTTAAAAGAATAAAATATTAGCAAGTATCTACACTCACAAATATTAAAATTTCAAATTTCAATTATCCATACATATTATAGTTAATGACTTTAATTTTGTTATCAAATAATATTGTTTTCCAAGTGAAAAGGAAATTTTAATAAAAAAATCAATCAAAAGAAGTCTCGTTTACTTCTTGTTTGTTAAATTAATCTACCTCCAAGCAATAAAAAAGAATAAACAAATAATGATTCCATCTTTTAAAATTAATCATCAAATTAAAACCCATGTTATTATTGTTATATATGCAAGAGCATAAAACCTTTGATTCTTAATTACACAAGGGCGTACGTGAGTACTTACGTCAAGTTCGATGATCCAATAAAAACATTACACATAAGCAACAAAAACAAAATCGGAGAAACAATAAATTACACAATACCCACCGACACTGCCAGCAGTGAATCGTCGTAGACGCTCGACTCCGTTTACTTCTTTTACTTAGATCGAACGTTTACCGCGCGACTCTGCGCGCACTTAAACTGATTATTCTTTATAAAAAGAACCCCCCTACGTTTACTTTCCCGTCAACTTCTTCTATTCTATTTTGGTAGTTTCGTGGAAAGATCTCTTTGCCAGGATCCAATAGATGCTTGTTCTTATATGGAGTACGGTTTCTACTATAACTAGGAAGTGATAGAATAATAATTGAGTCCATCTTAAAGAATCGGAAAGGGGCCGAGGGAAGATTGATTGCTAGGCTTTTTCGGCTGTGAAAAGAAACAAACGAATGGCGAAAACCCAGTCTACCCAGGCACCAACGCTACGAAAGAAACTGGTATAGAATAAGAAATTTCATTTGTATTTGTAATACTAGTAGTTCTATGTCCTTTTTTTTGTTTTTTTTGTTTTTCATTGATTTTCATTGGGAAAGCACATGATTACTGTGTAGTTAAAAGGTTTTCGAACATCATCCTTCATTTTGATAACCCTTCGATCTTGTTTGATTCAAGGAAATTTTGAAGGAAAAGAAAACGAAGGTGTTTGGATTGATAATTTCTCTATAATAATTAATTAATAATAACAACTCAAGCCATCTATGAATATGAAATAACAATGAAGATTAGACAAGTTTCAAATAAAATAAATACTCATAGGCTCCACAATCCAATAAAAATGAAAAGTTTGGAGTTTGAAAGCAGAAACAGAGCACGACGAGACGGTCAAGTGAAGCCAAGGCTGAAAAAAATTTTCCCTTTGCCTTCTTTTACTAATTTTTTTAATAGGATAATAAGATAAAAAATTAGAGAAAATTTTCCTTAGTCTTTTCGTTATTAAAATTTTTCACATCAATTTTCACACTAATCAAGCATGACAAAATAAAATTTCTAACGTAATATTACGTCAATTTGATATCCCTTCGAATAGTTACAGTAGAGATGTCCAACGTTGGGCCCACCCAGTCTCATAAAAATGACCCTCAGCTAATCTTGATTCGATTATTTTATTTCAAATAATATATTAAGATGATTTTTTATTTAGTATAATAAAATAATATAAATGGATGGATCTAAATAAATTGGGGCTGGACTTTAGAAACAGTCAGTCCGGTTGGCTGATCCAAGCCCAACCCAAAATCTTTAATGAAAAGGTTATCCTTTTTTTATTTTTATACGAAGAAATTGTCATTTTATATAATTTTATGATTTTGACATTTTTGTCGCAAATATATATGTTCAGTGGTTAGGCCACCCACCCAGTCTCATACACGTGACCCAACTTCGGGCTGTGACTTCGAGCTTAAGTTTTAGATCCTAGGCATATCTCGATGCGAATGTATGAGTTGATTAATAAATAATATATTATATAATATATATATGTGATAAAATTTGTTTACATAAATATTTAGATGAATAGTTTATTTAGATAACACATAAGATAATAAATAATAAATAATATTATATATTATATGTTATCAAAATAATTAAATATAAAAAATTTTTAAATTAAATCATTAAATAATAACAAATTTTCAAATATTAACTTAAAAACAAATAAAAAGATATATAATTATTTACTTTATTTTGTATTATTCAAATTCATTTAAAATATTTCAATTTATTTAAATTGATAAATGATGCATGAATTACTATTTAGAATTTTTTATTTAAAAACTTAAAAATATCAATCTTAATATATTTTTTAAATCTTCAATTAAATAAACGAATAAAAACATCTATTTAAATAAATGAATAAAAATATGTTTGATTATTTATATTTTAAAATACTTAATGCAAAATTGAAAACATTCAATTTCAAATTTCTTCAAACTCTTCGTTTCAAAGTATTTTTTATTCATATTTTTTTCCAAAATTTTATTTTCTCTCTTAAATTTTTCTATTCATTTTTTTTACAATAATTTTTACGATCAATAAGAATAAATAATGAATTTTTTTAGAAAAAGAAAAACATTTTTTTATTTCCTTGAAGTATGTGATTTATTTTTAAAAAGGTTTTCATTTCTAGATTTTTCATGCAATTTTTTGTTAATATATACATTAGTTCTATTGCTCGGTTCTATTGCTCGTACTCTAAACTCTATATAAATTGGATTTTTTTATTCTTTTTTAACGAATGGAACTTTTTTATTATGGGTGCATGTATGCATGGAGAAATATAAATATTTAGGAGATTAAAAAATAATTTAAAATTTGATGAATTTTTCTTGGTTTGATTTTTAAGTCATATTTTTGTCTTCAATTTCAAATTCTTATTTTTTTTATTGATTTCATTATCAAATTTCAATTACACTCTATTTTTTTTATCAAATTTTCTTATAATTTTTTGGATCTATAAATACTTACTATATTTGAATTTTATGTAAACCTTTTTTTTTGCATAGCAAATTTTTCTTTTTTACTAATTAAGCAATCAAATTCTTAAAATGAATTTAATTAATAATTTAATGTCTTAAATGCATATTAATATATTTTTTTAAAATTAAGATGGAGGTCAAAAAAATATTTAAAAATTTTATTGATAAATTATATTTTTTATTTTGAAAATTTTATACTTTTAGTTTATGAAATTAAAAGTCAAATAAAAAATTTTAACATTAAATATATAAATTTAATAAAATATAGAATAAAAAGAAGATACAATTATTTAATGATAAAAATGAAAATTTGAATCTACAAAAATTTTATGTAAAATTTTAATTAATTAATTTAAATCTTATCATAAATATAAAAATTAATATAGTTTTTTTAATATTTTATGAATAAAATAATATAAATGGACAAATCTTAAGAAACACGGAGTTGACTTTAGAAATGGTTAATCCAATTTGTAGGCCGGGTTTAACTCATTTCATGAACACCCATCTGTAGTTCAAGCTTAAGAATGAAGTCAATGAGGATTTTTATTTTTATTATTCACATTTTTTATTTATCATTGATCTCTTTTTGGCTTTAGAGGAGAAATTAAAGATGACCAGGAGTTAGTGACATAATAGTAATATAGGTTTTTTTTTTTTTTTTGCAGAAATCAAAAGTTCCCAAAAAGGAACATCGTTGGTGTTGGAAAAGGAAGGTTGTGGTAATATATAGTTGCATTATTTGATTTGCTAACTTTCTTTGCTTTCTGTCAATGATCAATCCTGCCTTGATCTAATTCCAGTTGCGTTTACTGCACTAATTATACCATTTAACAATGAAAAGGAAAAGGAAGTGAAGTGCTTAGAAGCAGTGGTGGCCAAGGTGAGAGAAGAACTGAACAACATGGAAAGGGCTGAACGGAAAGCCAAGGCAAGGATGGGAAAGCTTCAGCGGAGAAATTCAAAAACCAGAGAAGCGAACCGTCAAGCAGCAATGAACAATGCTGGGATCCAATTTTTCATTGATGCTATCCTTCATCATTTGGACGGTAATTGAATTGTTTCTACTCAATTTACTCTTAGCGTATAATGATTTGTCAGTAATCTTAAACTAATGAGAAAGTTTTTTAAAAAATTAAAATTTTTGTTTATTCATTAATAAAATGTTTCTAATAATGTAGATATTAATAATTTATTAAATATAAACTCTTAATTTAATTTATACATTAAAAAAATTTAATTTTTGTAGACTTGATTTTTTGGTATTTATTATTATGGAATCTTCACGCAATTTAATTATAGTTATACAATTATAATTTATTATAAATTTCAAATATTCAAAATAGATAAATCCGGTTTTTTATTAATAAATTTGATATTAATACAAAATTTAAAAGTATATTTAAATCACATCAAAATTGTTCATGAAATCTACTCATTAGATTAGAACTCTTGAAAAACGTTCTAACTATATGGTTTTATTTTTCATTTTATCATTTGCAGATTAAATTTTCTTGATTAAGATTGCGTGGGGATAAACGATTGCCGTCCATTCATGCCGCCCCCACCCTTCCGCAGCGATATCTGATTGTTTTTTGTACGGTTTTTTGAACACCTTTTTTTTTTTTTTTGTTTATTTATATGTTACTATTAAGAGTGTGAATGAATAAGATACAAGATACGCAGAACCTTTTTTGTCTTTATCTTTAATATTTTATATTTTACATATTTTGTATCCATAATTAATGAATATTTTAAATTTTTTATAATTTTCATCTATAAATATTCAATGAATAAGGATTATTCTCTACTAGTAGTATTTAAAAAAAATAAAAAATAAAAAAAATTTTATTTTTATTTTTATCCTACATATTTATTTTAAAATTTTTTATAAATATATATTTTTGAATATAAATATATTAATTCTAATTAATCTAAAATAAAATTTATATTATTAAATAAATATAATTTATTAAATAATATTAATAAATAAGATACGATTTAGTGCTAATATTATTTATTCACGTATTTGTATGCAATAAAAGATTTAAAATTATATTCATTCTGAAGTCTATCTCCAAAATTAAATATTTATCTTTATTTTATTAAGATAAAAATTTAATTATCCATTAGATTTGGATAAAATTAACGTGAGTAATATTACTTGTCCTTTTCAGATTTCCACTAAATCTGATTTAATCTCGTTTTTTAATTTTTACTAATGGAATTATTAACTTATTATAGTTAATTTTGTTAAATGTTTTTTTAATTTTTATTTTATTTTTATCAAAATTTATTTCTATCATTGTTTAATTAATCTAGATATAAAACTTAGCAACATTAATCAAATAAATGAAATAATAATTATTATTATGTTAATGTTAAACTTATTTATCATTTTAATCATTCTAATTTATGCTTTGTGAAATTTTTAAATTTTATTGATTAAATTAAAAAGCAACAAAATTTTTTTATAATAATAAAAATATCGTAAAAAATTTCATACTTGTAATTTTCATTTTAAACATTTAAAAACTCAATTGATAATATATAAAAAAATATAAATGTTCGCATAAAAATAAATCTAAATTACATCTATTTGAGCATGAGAAAGTTCAAATCTAAAATAATTATAAAATAGAAGGATTGAACTCAAATCTATATTAATCATGGTTATAAAAATTGAATTAGATCATCGGTCTAATAAGTTGAATTAATAAATCAGTGTTGAAATTGATTTTATTTAATAATTAAACTAATTTTACAATTAAATTGTTTTAAATCATTGCGAACCACATGGTTTATATAATAAATCAGAATAATTTTTGTTGAATCGGATTGGTTCAATACCAAATAATAAATTTAAGCAAAATATAAAACAAATCCTTAAAGTATTCAAAATAATTTAATTAAGCCCTTACATTATTACTTCATACAAATAAACCCCCTAACTTTTATTTTCTATTATTAAAGTCTTTGAATCCTTATATTAATTATACGTAGATATGTAAATAATGATATTGTAAAAAAACTTACATATATGTAAAAATAAATAAATTTCATAAAAAGATGATCTAACAAAAAAATTTTATTAATTGATATTATAACAAAAAATAATTATAAAAATAATACTATATAAAATTAATAAAAAATGAAATGTTAATAAAAATAATTAATTATTTGACCTTGACCTGAAATAATTAATAAAAAAATGTATATATGTAGAACTAATAAAAAAATCTATATTCATATAAAAAATATAAAAAATGATTTTAGTTTGTTTTTAACTAATTTTCATATAAATATAAATATTTCCTTGTTATTAATTTTATATAGATATTTTTTATTACATAAAGATTAATTATTATATATTACTAAAAATTTATATTTTAATAAATATAAATAATAATTATTATTTGTAATTATTTATTAGTTATTATTTATTATATTTATTAAAATATTAAATATGATTTTAATAAAATATTACATAATTTTATTTTTGTCTAGTAATTAATTATTTTATGAATTTTATATTTTAAAATTTATAATTTATGATTAAATTATTAAATTATAATTTGAGCTAAAAGGTTAAATTTTAAAATTTTAAAATATTTATTTTTTTATAATATTTTTATTAAATTAATAATTAACTCAATTAATTTAGTGATTGAATTATTAATTTAATAAATTAAAATCTTAAATTATTTGTATCTAATTCGATTCTAATAACTACGATATTTAACGAGAAATTACAAAAAAAAAAAAAAAATCAATTTTAACTCTGAAAAGAAACTGGACTGGACCGCTCCATTATTTGCACCTGTAATTGAAAGTCGTCCATAATAACAGCATTTTTGCTTTTATAAATTCGCATCACAATTGCGTCCTTAATAAGAATTTCTCAAAAAATAAAGACTGATGTGACAAATACCAAACTTTCCTCACTCAGCTTAGTCGAACGACCCAGGCAACTTGCCCAGATAATGCGCATGATCCTCGCGAGTCCCAGTTGTCAGTTGTCGGACAAACTATTTGAAAAAGACAAGTAGAAAAGTCTTATCGCTTGATTCTGAATGACTTGGACGAACAGAAGATTAATTTTGATAAAGTTAAAAATAATAATAAACATAAAATTAATTATTATAATAATAAAATTAAAATTAATGACAAAAATATATATTTAAATATAAATTTAATGGTGATAATAAATTAAATTATAATAAAATATAATAATTAAAATATTAAATTAAAATTATATATAATAAAAATTTTAAATTATAAAATAATAATATTAAATTGATAAAAAAATGCCACATAAATAAAAAAGAGAAAAAACAAAAAACTTTTCATTGACACACTCATCACCTCAATTTCAACTGCAACAAAGAAGAATAATAATATTAAATTTAATAATGATATTCATTATTATCTATTGCAACTTGACACAAGAGATTAAAAAAAAAAAAAAACGTCAATTGACCAGTGAAGGTGCTTGTCCAGCTATGTCACATTATAAGAAAATCATATAAATTATCAATGCGATCGAAGCCGAAAGAAAAATGGCCTTAATCGTACCGCACTAACCGTTAGGTGGCTTCAAAATGGGGCCTACGAAACAAAGTCCTCTTCAAAACATTACTGTTTTTAAACTCGTGTAATTTCTCTGAGCATAAAGGAATCCCTCAGTTTGCAGAGCTGGTAATAGAAATGAACAGCATGAAACAGTCGAATAGTTGCCCAATCAGGGGAGTGACTGGTCTTGCGGTAGAGTTCTATGAGTGCTCGAAAGGGGAGTTTCATGGAAGAAGCCAATCCAAGCTTTGCTGCAAACAGAAAACTCGATATCTTCTCACTCTGCTCCCAGACTAATCACTTCTCTGATTTGGGCGATTTTATTTGCGTCCATCTCAGGCTGTTCCATGTGGTTCATAATTTCTGATATCAGCTTTGCTTGAAACTCCTTTTCCTTCTCCTTTTTAATCAGGGTTGAAAGCAGTCAAAGCAGTGAAGAGAGATGTATAAATCAAAACCCAGATAAACACTATCAACTGAATGCCGACGATTTGCCAAGCCGATTGAAGTACCTCCTCAAACCTAGGCTGTTCCTTCGACTTTCTCGAGCTCCAAACAGGTAAGAGAAATTTTTTCGCTGTAGCCTCATATTTCTCTGCTCTCGGGATCCTTTTGGTGTTCATTTAAAGTTTGAGGGAATGAAAAATATGGAGGAAGATTGACAGAAAAAGAAAATGAAAGAAGGAAGAATAATTATCCTTATGGATAACAAGAAAAATATATATAAAAAAATTATGTTTAAAAAACGAAAAAAAATTTCATAGGGTGAGAATACAGGTGTAATCTAACCAAATCAGTGGATCTATTGCTGAGCTCGAACTCAGTTTGATTTGGGAACTGGAGGTTCGAAATTTGTTTCAAGTTCAAAATTTCAAGTACTTTTTATATTTGAGTACTGCTCATAATTTATTTAAGCACGAACTTGATAAGCATAGCTGGTAAAATTGTAAGCATATCTTTTTCATTTCTAAATGCATATTTTAAAGATAATGATTTAAACTTGAGACTCGAAACTTGATTTTTACTTGATCGGATTTATTTTTTTATGTATGAGTTATGCTCTTAATTTACTTAAGCGGCTACAGCTCGATAACCACAATTGGTAAAATAGTAAATATGTACATTACATATTATATTTTTCACTTATACATGCATATTTTAAAAATAAATATTCAATTAAACTTTCGAATCTCTTAGGTTGGGTATCAAAATACTCAAATTTCTTTTGATTTAATGTTCGATTGATTTAAACTTGAATTCAATTCAATAAAAAAATTAGTCAAATTCAAGTATTTATTGGATCAAACTCAAATATTTCACAAATTACTTAACTCGTGTACAAACATAAAGGCACTATCTAAAAAATTTCCAAGTCACATAAATTTATATATTAGGTCTAACAAAATCTTAGCTTAATAATTAATTTTCAATAATTTTGTTCCATGAAAAATATAATTAAATATATTTTTCAATAATTAAGCTTCATGAATTGAAATTAATTTAATTTATCCCTTAAAAGAAATTGCGATCAATTTGACTAATAATTATAACTTGGAATTAGAATTGTACCTGCCCCAATGACCGAAAGTCACTATAAAAAGCTCCAAATACCATATCAATGTTTTTCTTTTTCTTTTTTCATTAAACTGATGGCTCTTCTTATTACCTAATTTTTTTTTCATTCAAAGTAGTTTTACTTTTGATTAAATACTAATTTCAGACATTTATACTCAAAATGAAATAATTTGGGGCAAAATCAAAATATTTATTTAACCTGATCCTTTTTCAAGATATCCAAAAGAGCCATAGATGGATAATAAACTTAATCATCTATATATATATATACCCTTCCTTTTGCAGCAATCCGGTTTGTAGTCTTTCTAGCATCTCTGAAAATTGGGCACATGTCATCTCATAGAGGTGATAAAATATGACCAAACCTTAAAAATGTCTAGATCATAGCTCGAATCCAATTCAATTAAAGATTGATATATGAAATTCAAACATCCAAAAAAAAGTTAAATTTAAAACAATCTTAATCATAGATATTATTTTTATCTTTGATGCATAAGATTATTGATAGGATAAGATAATAATTATCTTATATCATGTTTGATTTGTATTTAAAAAAAAA